TGGTTTCCACCCAAAGGGAGGGGGGAGCTCTGTGGCAGGTTGCAAATCTGGAAATCTTTTTGTTGAGTTGCAGGAAACTTTGTGGTGGGTTGTCCCCTGAGGGGCTATGGAAGACGCATGACACCTGACATGACCCGTGCCATGACTCAGTTTGGCAGGTTTTTAAGAAAAGGCCAAGCCTAACCAAAAAAAGAACAGTAATATTTTGGTGGTAAGATTGTAACCATGACCATCTAAAGGTAAAACAAAGCAAATTCTAAGTGAAAGGTTCTGTTCTTCTACCTGGTATAGTTTAGGGGCAGGGAAAATAAAGCCTTGGGCTGGTATGTCTCAAAACTGCTATTTTCTTAAATATCAATTTAAAATAGCTATTTTCTTTTAAAACTTAATACATCAATAACAGGAAGTAACATAGAAGCTGAGAGCCAAAATGACACCTGTGCAAAGATAGAGTAAAAGTAGATCTTGGCTCTGGAACTCCAAGGTGGGGAGTGCAGCTAATGGGACTGGATGCTGGGAAAATGCATCTTTCACTGAAAGTAACTGTGGTAAAGCAGCAGATGCTGACTCTGGTAAGATGGATGCTTGAATACATACCTCTCACTTGACAACTTTAAAGTGCAACAGCTTCTGGAACAATGTGGGCTTTTTTGAGCTAAAGAAAGCACATCAGAGCAGCTTTTATTGCTTAGAGAAGATTATCTGAAGTGGATATTTACTATTTTGCTGAAGAACTAAATGAAGTTAGTTATTCAAATATTTGAGTTGTTTGTGGGTTTTGTTTAACTTTAGGAATGTGTGGCCAAACTAGGGAGTGTGTAGAACACCCATGTCAAGCCTGACAGCAGGATTTGTTGGACTGAGTTCAACAGAAATGCCACGAGGTAACTGAGAGGGGAGGGTCTGTATGCACCGCAGTGAGGTGTGACCAAGGACAGCTGTGAAGAAGTGACTGGGTTAGATTTTTTTCAACACTTAGTGCATTTGGGTGGAAGTGTGGACAGGCTGATGGAAAAAGCCATCGTGGAAAAATGCTGGAGCTACTCATCTGCAGGATTTAAAGTCTAGAAACAAGCTGATTACTCAGTACTACTCCCTATTAATGACAAAGTGTTGCTGTTTACAACTGTTGGTTTGGTTTCTTTATTTCAAAGCACCTATTTCTGCAGTGCAGTAAAACTGTGTGTCCTGAGGTGTGGTGGTTTCCACTGATGCTGCATAGTGTAGAGGCAATCTGAAACACCTTCCACTGGCTGCAAGCAGTCAGCCAAAAACCTATCCAGGGTGCAGGATGACTAGTGGGTATTGTGCTGCTCCAACTTCCCTTCTCAAGGGGAAGTGCAGCTAGCTCACCAAGTTTTATATGATTTATCTTACACTGTTAGGAATTCTGCATTTGATACTTATCTTAACGTTGGCCAGTGGCTCTGCAGCTCTACTCCAGAGCTTGCAGAAGGCCTGAAGCCACACGTGTACAGTTCCCAGTTTGTGGTGTGTTTCATTCCTTCCATTGCCTTTTCCTCAATGCTGCCTAAACTTTCTTAAAGAAGGCTGAGCTCTGAAGCTCCTTGGAAACAGAAATGAAGCATGTAAGATGCTGGCTATCAGAAGGCAGCCAAGTCTCTTCCTCTGCTTTTCGTAGAGGCAGCGTGTCCTCCTGCTGCCCCACGGAGGCTTTCCCCTCCCAGCTCCAGGAGGAGAGGTTCCCCAGGAAACTCGCTGGCTTTCTTCTGAGCGGCGCTGGCCAAAAGGATGCTTTTTTCCTTACTCTGCTTTGCCGTAGTCCGGCGTTGGCAGCCGGGCTCCTCAGGCAGGGCTCGGTTGCCAGCCCCGCCGCCGGCT